TCCATGTGGCAAGTGATGTGTGCACCACTAATGGTAAAGACAGCACGCCCTTGTAGAAAGCTGCTGTAATACTCCTTTGAAAGGCTTGGCTGTTTTAGGGAAATGCCAAAACAATGTTGGCTGGCACAAATCACAAACTCAGGCTTTTACTTCCTTATTGACAGACATATCTGGACTGCCAGTTGCATACAATGGGATACTTTTCAAAGGATCAAACATGTCAGAGCTTTGCCAGTCATCGATAATAAATCATTGAGCTCATTGTAGTGTGAACCATCCCTGTTCTGATCTGACCTGACCAAAGCTTTGTATCTTTGCTTAAAATAAATTGTTTGCTTTAGGCTTAGGGGGATTTTTTTTTTTTCCATTTATGAAAAAGAGCAGCTGCATGGTAACTTGGGCCTCATCCAGAATCTGTACTAATACCAAATCATATGGTAATAATAGATGGAATATATTTTTACAGAATACATTCTATAGAACCAGGGATTGACAGACGTCAGTGGGACCACATGGGTCAGCTATTACAAACCTCAATCTGGTGCAGTAATTTCTTTTTCACAGCATCCTCAAGTTAGATTTCTGTAGCTGACATTCTCTTCTAAAATCCACAGGTCTATATCCAACTGCCTTTTTGATCATTTGGATGACACAGGCATCTTAAATTTAACAAGTCCAAAATTGAGATCTTGATCTCCCCCTACCTCCAAATATGTTCCCCTTACAAGAGTTACCACTTTAATAAACAGCACTTCCGTGGGCCCACTCAGTAGATTAAGCTAGAAGACTGGGAATCCCCCTAATTTCCCACATCAAGCCAAATTCGACTCTACCTCAAAAGTGTATCTCAAATCCATTTCTCTCCATCTTCACTTCCATTACTCCAGTCCAAGTCTTAACCAATCTCCCTGCTTCCACTCTTACCTTGGTCTGTTCTCCACATAGTAGCTGGCATGCTTCTTTAAAAAGATATCAAGGGGCTGGCCCCGTGACCTAGTGGTTAAGTTCCACATGCTCTGCTTTGGAGGTCTGGGCAGGATTCTGGGCTCAGACCTACACCACTCCTCGGCAGCCACGTTGTGGTGGCGACCCACATACAAAATAGGGGAAGATTGGCAGTGATGTTAGCTCAGGGCGAATCTTCCTCAAGCAAAAAAAAAAAGAAGAAAGATTGGCAACAGATGTCAGCTCAGGGTGAAACTTCCTCACCAAAAAAAAACAACAAAAAAAGATATCAAATCACCCACCTCCTCCACCCCTTCAATGGCTTCCTTTTATATAAAATTTAAAAATCCTTATCATGGCCTGAGGGCTGCAGATCTGGCCCCACCTACCTCTCTAACTTCCAGTACACTGTTCTCTCCTTAACACAACAAGCTTCAGACAAACTGGACATCTTCCATTTACCAGAAGAGCAATCTTCTCTCCTCTGCCTTGCCCCGCCCCGCCCCACCCAAGGAGTTCACACAGGCTTTCCCTGCCTCTTTCCATCTGGCTAGTTCTTTACCTTCCTCTGAGAGGTCTTCCCTCACCACCTTCCCTTGCGCCCTTCTTTTAAGTCAGCGTTCCTTCAGTGCACTTGCTATAATTTTAAATACATATTTAAGTGATATCTGATTAATGTCTACCTTCTCCACTAAAGAATTAAGGAGGACAGGAACCATTTCAGCTTTGTTCATTTCTGTGACCCTAATAATAGCGACAGCAACAACAACTAACACACAACATTTACTATGTGGCAGGCATCGTGCTAAACGCTACAGATAGAATAATTTAATATGTACTCCCAGTATACTGTCTGGCCCATAGCCAGTGGTCAGTTTGTTGAATGAATGAACCCAGCCCCTTTGTGCACACCTACAAATTGCTCACCACCTGCTGGAACAGCCCATTACACTGTTAACTCTGGTGATCGGAAGAATCTTTATGTTGACCCCAGCACGCCTCCCTGCAATGTCCACCCACTGATTCTATTTCTGCGCCCCTGGGGCCACGCAGTACACGCCGTAATCGTCCTTCCACCAGCTCGGCCTCGCAGCATCTGAAGACCCCCGTCCCCTCGCGTCTCCCTCCCGCTGCCCTCCCGGCCCCTCCCCGCTGACTCCGCGTGGCTCCCGTTCCGCCCCGGCGGTCTAGGCGCCCGGGAGCCCGGGCCGCCCGCC